TTTTTTTTTTTTTAAACCAGCTTCTTTGTAAGTTCGTGTAAACTATATTACCACTGACTTATTACTTTATTGTTGCACGGTAGTATAAGTTTAGAAATAAAACAAGCATCATAGTGTTGTTTGTTTCAGATGAAGTTGTATAAACTTCAAAACTATACTCCCTCCCCCCCTCCCCCGCAATCTGCTGAAAATTACTACCATTGAATTTTCAGGTTGTTACACGAACAGAAAAGGATTCTTCTATAGTTGCTTTTTCACATGAAATGGTACCATGCCCTGTGACTACAGATATGACCTTACAACAGGTTTTAATAGCTATGAATCAGGTAAGAAAATTTTATTAAGTTTATTTAACAYGAAAAAAAAGTACTTGGGCATGGTGGCGCACATCTATAATCCCAGCAATTTGGGAGGCTGAGGCAGGAGGATTGCAAGTTCAAAGCCAGCCTCGGTAACTGAGCGAGGCCCTAAGCAACTTAGCTAGACCCTGTATCAAAATAAAAAGGGCAGGAGATGTTGCCCATTTGTTAAGTGCCTCTAGGTTCAATCCCTAGGAACAAAACAAAACAAAAAATACTACTTAATATGTATTATACAGTAATTTTATATTGACATCTTGCATGCTATATATATGTAAGAACAAATTGTTTTCTTGTGAGAAGTACAAAATTAAAAAGAAACTATGGTCTTATTAGGGAAGGCATATATTTTATATATATATATTGGCTGTAAATAAAATAACATGAAAATTGTATTTTTAAGTAATTATTTCAGACATCTCATTTATGGACACTAGGGCAATTTTATTCTAATTCATGGGGTTTTTTTGTTTTTTTTCCCTGGGTTAGATCCCAGCAGGTGGAACAGATTGCTCTCTTCCAATAATTTGGGCTCAAAAGASAAACACAGCTGCTGATGTCTTCATTGTATTCACTGATAATGAGACCTTTGCTGGAAGCATCCATCCTGCTATTGCTCTAAAGGAGTATCGAAAGGTAAAACAAACCTTGTTGTTTCTCATCTGAATAATAATCCATGCTTTTTCATTGTTTAAAAAAATAAAAGTACTAAAGTAGCTCTGATCTTTGTGTAGACCCAGTGTCAATTATAGACTCAGCAGTACTTGCAATTGTAAAAAGTGGAGCTGGGGAATGTGGCTCAAGTAGTAAGGTGCTTGCCTGGCATGCGCGGGGCRCTGGGTTCGATCCTGAGCACCACATAAAAATTAAATAAAGATGAAATTATAAAAAGTCACTACAAATACATAATGTATTTATTTAAACTAGTTGCAGTGCTGTTATTAATACTATTGCAAATGGTAATAAAATATTTACCTTAGCTATACTTTTTTTTTTAATAATTCATTGTACTCTTTGAAAAATTAAAGTCTCATTTGTGGTATTTGCAAACAACTATAAAAAATTAAACAAAGCTATAATCTGTGTCTTAAGTTTTATGGAAATACCTATGTTCTAGACTGTGCAACCTGACTGAGCTTTCTTAAATGACACAAATGTTCTGTAACTACAGATTCCAGTAATGGTAGCCACTAATCACATGGGACTGTTTAGCACTTAAAATGTGACTTGTGACTGTAAGTAGAAATAGACTTGTTAAGGAAGATGTTGTTCTCAAAGTATGGTTTCCCTACAAGCAGCCTTAGCATCACTTGGGACCTCATTAGAAAGGCACATTCCTAGGTTCCATCTGTCACCTCTAATCAGAAATTCTGAAGGTGGAACTGGCCTTCCAGGGAATTGTGATGCATGTAATTTTGAGAATCATAGGAGCAGGAATAGAACATAGATTTAATACAGCCTGAAGTCTGAGTCCTGAGTCTTTCTCTTCCACAAACTGAATCCGAGCAGATTACTTAACTGATACATGTCACAATACATAATAGTACTTACCTTTTAGGATCAGAACAACAATTACATTAGGTATATTATTTATTTATTTATTTAAAGAGTTCATTGTAGTGTCTGACATTCAGTGATTATTGGTTTTTCTCAAATATTCAATTATTTTAACAATAAATGTAGAAGTAGAGAACAAGATCTTATGTATGCACGCCTGTAATCCCAGCAGCTCAGGAGGCTGAGGTAGGAGCATTTCGAGTTCAAAGCCATCCTCAGCAATTTAGCAAGGCCTGAAGCAACTCAGCGAGATCCAGTCTCTAAATAAAATGATGTGGCTTAGTTGTTGATTGCCCCAGGGTTCCATCCCCAGTACCAAAAAAAATTGTGTGTGTGTGTGTGTTTATCTTTCGTAGAACATGTATATATTATATTTATGAAAACTACAAACCAAATGTAAAAAAATCCCAAAGATGTATTTCCTTTTTCCTTATATTTGTGTGTATTCACACATATTACCCAACATTTGATATGTTGATAAAAATGTTTGGCACCCCTGAATATCCTAACAGGTTTCATAATTACAAAGTCTCCAGGCTGCTTAAAAATGTACTGTGGAACCCATAAAACAAAAATGTAGAACAAAGAAATTCAGGTAGGTTCTTTACACAGTTTTGTTTTACATTCTTGTATAGCTCATGTTGTTGGACTCTAATAAAAGATTGAAACAAAAATGACCCCCCCCAAAAAAATTTTGCTTTTTAAGTAAAAGTTGTGGTACAGAGATTTAAATTGTTATAATATTGGAAGTTTTTGTTTTTCCTTACATATACCTTGTTATGTATTTGGTGTTTTTTTGTGTATTTTTTCTACAGAAAATGAATATTCCAGCTAAACTCATTGTTTGTGGAATGACATCAAATGGTTTTACCATTGCAGACCCAGATGATAGAGGCATGTTGGATATGTGCGGCTTTGATACCGGAGCCCTGGATGTAATTCGGAATTTCACATTAGATGTAATTTAACTATAAACACCATCATGACCTAAGAGGTCCATTGCTATCGCTGAAAATATGCAGCTACTTCCCACCTAATCTCAATCCAGTGAACGATGATAGTGCAGTGTGTGCAWAATTGAAAGTAACTTTACCAAAAAAAGAAAAAAAAAATTAAAAACTAGGAAGAAGGAAAAATAAAGATGAGCCCAAAGTTCTATCTACTAAACTAGCTCTTGGGAAATAGCTTCAGGATATTACAGCTTCCTCTCTCTCATAGAGAACTTTTTGTTAATAGATACTATAAAATAGTCAAACAGTTTTGCTCTGGTCAATGATACATTTGTACTTCAAAAAGGTGATATCCAAAAGTAAGCAGTTCCACATCATGTTACTTATTTGAGAAGTGCTTAATGTTTTCTTAAATGTTTTCATTGGAAAAGGACAGCTTTGATAATACCCAGATACTCTGAAATGCACTAGACCATATAACTGTGAAGGAATATGAAACTCATCTATAAACTTTTATATATATCGGATAAAAAACTTAAGACACATGATTAAATTATGAGTGAGTTTTAAAATTTCCTTTCAGAGTTTTCTAAGATCATATAAATAACAGCTTTCTTATTCAATGAAACAGATATTTTATTCTTGATGTTTTATTTGTAGTTGTAGAATCTGTTACCATTAAGAAGAAACATAATGGGAAAACCCTAAGAATGTTATAGGGCCTGAAGAGACTAAAATTTGTTGGGTGTGGAATTGGTTTTCTTTGTTTATTGTGTTTTATTGCTCTGAATGAAGGCTGTAACTTGACAGTGATTTCCTCTAAATAACAACATAGCCTCATGTCGTCACATTTTTGTTTTKCATACTCACAAATGGAAATAACATTTCAAGAATTTGAGTTCCCTCTTCATAATCTTAACAGTATAATAATTAGAATCTCAACTGCCTTTTCCTTACTCTTAAAAATTGTTTTAATTACTTTTTCTAGTCAATTATAAATGGGTTTTAAATATTTTCTAATAGTAAACATGTCCACAATCCATTTTTGTGACAGAACATTCTTTTTTGATAGGGCAAGACATGTCTTTCAGGTTTGAAAAGCAGTTTTTGAGTAGCATATTTTGAACTAACCAGTCTGTAGGAAATTGCTATTTTTATCTTTTGTTTATGTGTATTAAACTTCCTTTACATTACACTAACATATGCATTATTTTCTTGAACAAGTATCCCATCTTCATTAGGAAGTTTAACATTAAAGCAATCTGTTGAAATGTTAGTATCTATTCTCATCATTCTATAAAGGTTGTCTAAGATAGCTGTTACATGTAAAACTTGCATTTCTATGCATTGTTCTTTAAATATTAAATAAAGATTTTTTTAGGGTTCTTAAAGCTCTTATGATAAATGTAAAACAATAGTAAACATAAATTATAACCACCTATGTGCTTGGGAATTAGAGATTTTATGTTTTGGAGGCAAGGTGACTTTAATAGTATGAGGATTTGAATATGTATTCTATTTTCATAGTAGTTTGGGGCTTTGGGAACAATAAGAAAATGTTCTTTTCAAATGTATTTGGCATATTAATGGTGGCTTTGATATTTAGCTATTCCTGCAAGACAACTAATAGCAGTTTTTAAAACTAGTAACAGTTATTTACCTAAGAGATTTTTGGTCCACAAAGCTAGTTGTATCTCCCATTCCAGATACACATTGTTTCTGATGTTTTTCTGGTTTTAACCCTCTATCAAGCATGGAGTGGATTTAACAGCCACTTTTGATACAGTATTAAGTTCAGATCAAATTTGAAGAACCCAAGATCTTCAAAAATATGATTTTTTATTCCTAATAGAACTGTTAAATAGAATATAATATAAATGTTTACTTAACTTCAGTTATGTGCTATTTAGATAGAGCTTTCATACAAATATAGGAGCTAATTTTAAACCCATCAGAAAAATGTATTAGAGGAGACTTTTTGAAGTATTTAGATAGGCCTAATTAAATGGATTAGAGTAAGATTTAAGAATGACAAATATGAAAGGAAAACTGAAAGAAGCCACCAGAGAACATAATTTTACTTTCAAATTATGACACTTTAGAGCTTGAATGATACCTTAGAAACTTAAAAACTAACTTTTGAATTTCATCTGGAGACCCAAGGTTCAAAACGGAATTTGATTCTCTTAACACTATACGTGATCTACAAATCTTGGTCTCTTCATTCCCGTTACACTTTTCACTCCCCACATCGTGGGAACACATTCACTTAGAAGAATAGAATTATTCTCAGAAAATAGAATTATTGAAAACTTTTAAGGAAATGTATATACATGATTGCTTTAAGAGTAGAAAAACAGATGTAAACATTATCATTTTTAATTCATAGTAATCCTGAAGCACAATTATTGTTTTAATAAGCTATGTTGCTATATAACAGTCCTATAGAAAAAAGTAAAAGACTTTACCTCATTATAAATAGAATGTACTTGAGTGATAAACAAGCTTTATTTTCTGAATTACTTCTAGGATTACTGTTACATTAATATTGGGGAAAATACTGCTTTTAAAAACAGTCCTGGGCTGGGGATACAACTCAGTTGTTAGAGTCCTAGGTAATGACATATTTCCAAGATATAGTTGTAATTAGTAAAATAAAAAATGAATTTACAGTCTCACCTTTTCTTAGTTGAAATTCTTTGGAAATTCTATTTATTAAAACATTAGCTAAATAACTATTTTAAGAGAATGTTAGTATGGCCATATGGTTGTGAATGAAATTTAGTGTTGCACCATTGGAACCTCTTTTGCTTTCTCACTTTTTTTTTTTTTTTTTTTAAAGAGAGAGAGAACTTTTTTTTTTTTTTCCGGCGGACACAACATCTTTGTATGTGGTGCTGAGGATCGAACCCGGGTCGCACGCATGCCAGGCGAGCGCGCTACCGCTTGAGCCACATCCCCAGCCCCTGCTTTCTCACTTAACTGTGTGGTTGTGACTCAACCTATTCTGTTCTTGCAGTTTTCATAAAGTAACATTTGATGCTTGGGTAGTGGAAGAATCTGATTTATTATTGAAAAATTAAAAGGCTCACGATACTAGTTAGAACTTTTTTAATTAAAAATATTCTTGTTAATAGATATGAGTTTTGAAGGATTAAAATGTTTTAGAAAACTAGTTCATTAGGCCACGTAATTTTTTTAAACATTGCTGTTCAGAATGGAAAAATGCAGAAGAAAGATTTTCACAGATAATATATTGACTAAAAATTCACAACACTCTGATAAAGAAGGAAGAAATATATTCTAACACTAACAGCCTCTTGGATAGATGAAAAAACTATATCTAAGGGGATAATATAACACATTTGCATGAGCTTTTAAAATAATAAGTCTAAAAATGATGAAATACCATTTATTGGGTTCTTTTTTTCCCCTACATTTTGCAAAAATATATGTATTAAGTTTTGGAAAGATAAGGCAGAATTACTGATTAAATTTGAGGGTCTGACAACATAAACTGAAGTTTAAAAGCTGAAGTCTAGTCTTAATACCACAGGTTGGCGTGATTTAAGGCACTGTCATATACCCTCAATATAAACATGMACAAGAAAGACTAAGAAAATGTTAAGCTATGAAATTACTATATATTGTATGGATTTTACTTAGTGTTTGCCCGATGTCTTCACCTTTATCTTATTTAATAGAAATTCCTTTTATACCTTCCCCCACCCCTTTTAAAATTCCTTTCTTCTAACATTTTCACCATCTTTTTTTCTAGTCTTATCTACCTGGGTAATTAAATGACAGGAAAATCAACCAAATTTAAGAGAGATGAATGTCTTTTAGACTGCTTTTTGTTTCATACAGATTTAAGGTCATATTTTTTTCAAATTTATAATGACAGGTCTCTTAGAGCAATAACCAGATTGGTATGTTGTCTCTCCAAATCAAGTTATATAATAAAAAATGTATTAAATGTTTCCAGAAATTGTGTGGTCTTTCACTAATATCAGTGATTGACCCTTCATTTGTATTTGTAGATGTACCTACCTGTGTTGAAGGGAACTGCTCTAATGTACAAGCACTCGTTAGAAAATAGTTAACTACTCTAGCCAAGTGTAGCGGCACACACCTAAAATCCCAGTGACTTGGGATGCTGAGAGGGGGATCAAAAGTTCTAAGCCAGCCTTAGCAACTAGGAAAATTCCCTGTTACTCTAAACTTGGCAAGACCCTATCTCAAACAAAAAGAGCTGATAATATAGCTTGGTGGTACAGTGYCCTGGGTTCAATACCTGGTACCAAAACAGAAAAATAACTAACTAGTCTTTAATAAAATACCATATCTCATGTTCATATTAAGTATTTCACTGAGTAAACTCCCTCATCCCTCGCCACAAACACAGCTTACAGCATAAAAAGCCTTGTATATAACCTGTATTGGAATTAAATACTTTTTAATTGGTAAATTTTTATTTGCTTTTCTGAAAAATTATGGAATTTACTTTAARAAGATAATTCTAAGATAATATTTTTATGTAGAAAACTAATGTAGCTAATCATACTTTTTGAATAAAGTTATAATAAACKGCACATTTTCCTAATCCCAAATACCAAGGTATACAGGAAAGTGATAGAAAAGTGAATATATTATAGGATTCTGTTACTGAAATTAAGGTGAATAAAAATCCACAAAAGGTTGTTTCTGATTCTGAAGAGTTTTTTCCTTTTGCTTCTATTTTACTTAGTCCTTCCGTGCATATTTACTTTACGAACACAAGTGACATGTAGTTTTTAATTTTAAAATGTTTAATTTTCTGCACTTTATAAGTTAGCAGAATCTATACTTAACCAAATAGTAAATTAGTTAATATTTCTACTGGTTTCACTTAATAAACATTTAGACTGTCAAAGATAGTGAATGAAGTTAAATATAAAGTTGTTGGAATGCTATATTAAACATTACTTAAACTTCTGTTAAAATACCTACTAGGTTTTATTTGCAATGTAAACTTTAGAATCCCTACATAACCAAATTAAATTTAAAATGTTTTACATAGTGGATAGTAAAAAACAAAAACATTTTTATTGCACTGTTACTCTAAACTACATATAATTTTGTATGGTGTGACAAGACACAAATTTTGTAATGTGTTTGAGTTCRATTTTCTTATTTTAATTGCCAGCTTGTGAGTATGAAGAAATTGTCCAAAGGGATGAGATRGATATATATGGAATAATCTTTTAAGGGGGAGGAGTGGAAGTGGGGAATGTTATAATCTAATTCCAAACTGCCCATTTACTTTAGTAAAGGCTTTGAGTTCCCTAATTGGTCACTTGATAAATATTTAAATTATTCAGACTAMCRTCTGTATAAAATAAATTTAAATATATAAGAGCCTTAAAGTGAAAAATGACCCTTTTGACTGCCTTAAAATATGACTAGCTCTCCTATACAGACATACTAGTTACTTTCTTTGGGGTCTGTTTATTAAGTAATGCCTTAATAGTGTTATAATGTTTCTGAAGTACAGAATTCAAAGAGTCTTTCTAGAGCTTTTAATTTTACATAATGAATGGAAATTTAACTGCYAAGTTTAAAACCTGATTGTAAATTAGTAATTTAAACACATTAATAGGATAATCTGGGTACACTGATGTGTTATACATATGTGACTGTTAACATCAATAATATATGGTAGTTTAGAATTTTTTATTGTTTTGTATAACCAGTTATCCAAAAAGCTGGGCTTTATGACTACAACATGACTGCCATGGACCAAGTTCATATATTTAACAGTATGAATGACAAATACAGTTGTACAGTCCCAAAAATGATTAATTTTTAAGGGAATATTTTGAGACAGAAGGCAAATATTTTGTTTCAAGCCTACAAACAAATTCAAAGAAGTGAATATAGTATTAAAACATTGAGACCATTGCAATAATAATATTTGCAGGTCAGTAATTTAATTACATTTGCATTTTTACATTCACTTTGCCTTTCAAAGCAGGAATATTTTATAAAACTAAAAGAATAAATTGTCAAGCTGGTGCTTAAAGGTATATAAAGTTTGATGTTTCATAAACATGTTTGGTGTTTATTTCATTTCTAAGGAAAACCCTTAATGGGGGCACGCGGAGTTTTCTTAAGATTATTGATAGATGCTTTGTCAAGTCTTCCAAGTTTTCACTGTAAATAATACATCTAATGTAATTTTGCTGTTTTCTGATTGGGAATGGATAAATGTGCTTATGATTAAATTTATTTCATGATTAAAGTTTTCACCAACTATGGTGAAAAATCTTGACTACTTCTTTCCAGCCTTGCAAAATACCCTACTAAATATAGTTTGAGTATCCCTTATCTGACATGCTTAGAACACAGAAGTGTTTGGAATTTTTCAGATTTTGGAATATTTGCATATACATATTCATAATATTTGGGGGATATTCTATATACCTAGCCTGAAGGTGATTTTATAAAATGCACCTGCATTTGACTGTGACCTCCACATGAGGTCAAGTATGGATTTTTTCATTTGTGGTATCATGTCAGGGCCCACAAAGTGTCCAATTCTGGAGCATTTCAGATTTTGGATGTTTGGATTAGAGATGCTCAACTTGTAATTCATTTAGATGTGGAGTACAGGTGGGCACTATGTGAACTGCTTCTGATCTGTTTATTGTAGAAATTGATAGGGGTACCAAATAAATACTATGCACATCAGAAAAACGTCTGTTTATGTTTATTTTTWAAAAATAAGAATTTTAGGTTAGGGATATAGCTCAGTGGGTAAAGTATGTATGATTGGGGATTCTTTTCCAGTAGAGATCTAGTACAGGATCAAGACAATTTGATTTAGTGAAAATGCAAATTCTTAAAACTTGTTTTTGAGCTACACTAACAAAAAAAAAACTGAACTAGGTAAATAAAAACATTTTGTGTCAGTGTCAATTTAAAGAAATTATCTCAATCCCTGTAAAACTTTCCATAAAAGTTATCAGGTCTGAGGTATAGAATAATACCAAAGAGTGAGAACAAGTTGCATCAGAATATACTCACCAAAACTTCAAGTATTTGGATAATTAGTTCTGTATTTAAAATCAAGAGCCAGGTACATTGGCACATACGTTTAATTCCTGGAACTAGGGAGCCTGAGGCAGGATGATTCAAGTTTGAGGCCAGCCTAGACAATTTAACAAAACCTTGTCTCAAAATAAAAACTAAAAAACTAGGGATGTAACTCAAAAGTAAAGTGCCCCTGGGTTCACTTGTGAACTGTTTTCAAAAGTTCATCTTTATACAATGCTGAAATCTTCCTCCATTTCAATTTTTGTTCCCTGGAACTATCAAGTCACTAAATGAGTCATTTGGTTTCCCCAAGGTAAAATTCATTCCATTCTATGAATTTTAATGTATAAGACATACATTGCTCTAGAAGTAGAATGTGAAGGCTTTACACAATATGGTAGAAGATATCCCTACCTGATTCACAACTGTTATTAATGAGAACCTTAAATTTGAAAGAAACTCACATCAGTYCTTACTACTGAAAGCTACACAAGGTAAGGAGTTAACTCCTGAATGCTATAGGGAATAATTTCAAATGCTTAACTCCTAGCTCTTGGCTGTAAAATTCATATATAAATTCCTAATTAAATGCATTCTTATGATATAACTACCCCTTTGGTTATAAATATCATCTCTTGCTCAAGAATTGGCAAGTAAGAAGATGAGGTGTCCACAACCATTTATTTTTCATTATTTTTAATCATGAAGATAATTCACATTTAAAACATCCTCAAATATTTAAAAGGCATTATCAGGTATTATCACATTAACATTTACTAGTCATGGTAAGTACCTACATTACTGAAATTCTCTCTTCTTTTTTAAATAACATTGATGAACTAGTGGTAGCAACTTCCCTTCTTTATGAAGCCTATGAGTATCAGTTGCACCTCCAATAAAAGTTCCATTGACAAATATTCTTGGAACCTGTTAGATAAATAAAAGATAAATTAGGCCTAACTTATTATTAGAATTATGAAATCATTTCTGATAATTGCTGACACTCATACTTGGGTACTATTTTTTAGCCTGATTTTGGAGGAAAATGAGGAAGAATGTGCCCAAGATGACAATCTTAGTAAATGAGATGATCAGAGATTCAAATCCAGGAAAATCTGATTCTAAAGGCCTTCCTCATAATCACTATGGTATGTAACACAAAAATAAAAGTATTTATAGTGTTTAAGTAGTCTTTTCTTAACATATTCACTAAAGGGGGAACATATACCATAAACTTCCGTGCAAATATAAAAGAGGAAAATAGCAACATAGTTTTTTTGTTGCATATTAGAAAAATCCATAAACATGGAAGCGCATTCCTATTAGCACAGTCACTAAAGAATGACCCCTCTTTAACACCTTTATTTTGAAAGAGGACCTTAAAAAACTCTACATAAGTACTTATAACAACACCATCATCCCCTGTAATCCCAGTGCCCAAGCAAGCACACACGCAGTAAAAATAAAAAACAAAATGAATTAACTCTGCTTTTCCCTATTATAAGACTCTGGTATCCAAATTTGCCATTTCTTGGTATCTTCAGAGAACTTCTGGCTTCCTTTTCCTAATACAAAGTCTAGTCTCTAGGTGAACCAAGTTACCATCTATTACGACAGCACAGCTGAGGATATACTCACAGTTCTTTCTCCAGTCATTTTATAAAGAGCATCTTGAAACTGGCTCCCATATTCAAGCATGTCCAATTCCACTGCTTTATAATTAACATTCATGTCACGGAAAATATTTTTTGCCATTGTACAGTAAGAACAGGATGTTTTTGAGAAAATCACCACACAATTATCAGAAATGGTTTCCTGAAACAAGACCGAAAAGAGAATCATTTTAATTTTCAACATTACCTTTTAGAAAGAAATCATGATAGAGTGGATTTTAGAGGAGAGGTCTCACAACTGAGGAATCAAACTAAGTTATCATCTGTTTTAACATTTGCAAAGTGAAGATATTATTCATTTCCAAGGGATGTTAGAAGGAGCAAAAATGTAACAAATATAAAGTGCCTGGCAAGGAATAGTAATGATACTAACAAATAACAATGATAAGTCAATTCGTCAACAGCTAACACTTAGGTGTAAAGGCACTTTTCTCAGCACTTCACTAGATCACTGAAATTTCAGTATAATCCTGAAGTAGGTCTTATTATTTTCTCAATTTTGCAGGTGAAGAAAATGAGGCACAGAGCCAGGCATGGTAGTATATATCTATAATCCCAGCAGCTGGGAAGGCTGAGACTCAGTAACTTAGCAAGGCGACAGGCAGCATAGTGAGATCCTGTCTCAAAATGAAAAATAAAAAGGACTGGGGATGTTGTTAAGCACCCCTGGATTCAATCTCCAGTACCAAAATGAAAGAAAGAAAATGAGGCACAGAGGTAGATAAATAACTTAACGATCYTCATCTATCAGTGGGTGAACTGAGCTTTGAGCCCAGGCAAATCTGGCTCTATAATAGTTCTAGACATGTAATCTCTGTTCCACTGCTTCTCAAAGGTAGGTGTTCAAAAGGAATTAACTCCTTGCTTCTTAATAACTTTCCTTAAAACACTAATCCAGGTATAGACAACAGCTTCCTCCTCCACTTCCATTCAATCCTATATATCTTTGTAGTACAGAGCTGWCGGCACTATATTGATAAGGAATTCTTATATTGTTGGTCCTATAAAAGCTACTTCCAGAAATGCTGATTCAATGGGTTTGAAGCAGAGGTCAGAAACTATTTTTTTAAAAAATCTTCTACAATGGTTCTTACAATACCAGCCTGGTTTGGAAGCTACTCTCCAGGACTTTAACCCAGTGAGCATGAAAATGCTGTGCATCTACATGGCCATTAAAGTTTGGTTTTTGTTCTTTGTTTCTAAATATTTTTATATCCTGATCCTTGAAAAGATTTTTTAAACAGACAGGTCTGACACTTAGGCATCTGTGTAGATTGTTTTCACTTGGGTCATAAGTAGCACCTTGAAGATGAAGGTCAAAAATGACATACAATACCCAAAGTACTTTATATCCACCCTTGGGTGCTAGAAGAATCCTCAGTTATAGCATAGCTATCTGTAAGCTGATCTGTTTGGGGGGCGGGGGAATTGAACTCAGAGGTACTTAACCACTGAGCTCTATCCCCAGTCCTTTTTAATTTTTTGAGACAGGGTCTCACTAAGTTGCTTGGTTTGGGTCTTGCTAAATTGCTAAGGCTGGCTTTTAACTCAATCCTTCTGCCTAGACTGAGAAATTTGCAATACCTGGATTTGACCTAATCCTTCACAACACCAAAACCAGGCTATTGCCTCCACTATGCTGCCATGGGTTCTAGCTAGGCTCACTGAGGCCATGATTTGAAGAAAGAACCATGCTGGATACCAGCATGAAATAGAAAACTAATGAAGAGATTCCAGAGTGAGCTAGAACTCAAGGTGACAGTGCCAGGTTCTCCTGAACCCTCATGGTCTATTTTTATTTTAAGAAGCAATCCCAGCTGGGCAACAGTGGATTACACACCTGTRATCCCAGGGGCTCCATAGGCTGACAGGAGGACTGAGAACTTAAAAGTCAGCCTCAGCAAAAGCGAGGTGCTAAGCAACTCGGACCCTGTCTCTAAATAAAATACCTAATAGAGCTGGGGATGTGTGTCAGTGGTTGAGTGCCCAATGTAACATCAGGCAAGGAGAGGAGGGCATTGACCAAAGGAGGCAGATTTTAAAAGACCACCAAATGAGGCTTTATTTGAAATATCACTCCCAGGCAGAACTCGATCAGACCAGACTGACATAGTGGACAGGAGAAACCTGAGGGTCTGAGGAGAAACCTCATGGGAGCTCAACCAGACTGGGATTTTATGGGGTTCATGGCAGGAAGGGAAGGGCTTGGGACAGGAAAAGGTATTTTTAGAGTCCGGGGTCCTGTTGGAGTTGGTCAGAGGAGTTGGCTGAACTCCAGGATTGGCCAGGGGGTCCTGCTGATTGACAGGCATTAGTCAGGAGATCCCACTGATTGACAGACATTTCTGTTGGCGCCAGATTGATGTTTCTTTCCCTGGAAGACTGAGTTCAATCCCTGGTACCCACCCACCAAAAAAGAAGCAATCCCTTCACAGTAAGTTTCCACCATTGCTGTTATATTCAACAGCCATGAATTCAACTAAATGCAGGGTTGTTTTTTTCAGTACTAGGGATCAAACCCAGGGCCTCAAGCACATGAGGCAAGCACTCTACCACTAAGCTACTCCTCCAGCCCAGGGCATAAGTTTTTTGTATGTGGTGATAGAAGGTGGTGAAAAAGAAAGAAAGAAATGGGAATGTTTTATAAGCTACAAGGGAAGAAAAATATGCATACATATAGAAGAAATTTTCTGAGGCAGAATTAACTATGATTGACCATGAAAGAAAGGAAAGCAAGAGAGCACAAAAGCATATAGTATCCCAGAATCATCTATGTAGTAACTGTTGCATACTAGGGTCTATGTCACGATAGCTACTAAACATTAGCATGTACTGCACTCCGAGTAGCTAGTATTTTTATAAGCAGATAAGAGGTTTTTAGTAAGCCAGGCTTGGAGGCATACACCAGTAATCCCAGTGACTCAGGAGGCTGAGGCAGGATCATGAGTTCAAACCCAGCCTCAGCAACTTAAGCCCTCAGCAACTCAGCAAGACCCTATCTCTAATAAAATACAAAAAAGGGCTGKGAATGTGGCTCCATGGTTAAGCACCCCTGGGTTCACTTCCTGGTACAAAAAAAAAAAAAAAGGTTTTTATTAAAGAATTTGATTTTGCCCAAACAGAGGTATTGCCTTTGTCTCTGGTTCCTGGAAAGAAGCCCTTAAATCTTTGGAATTTCTTGAGTGACACAAATGTCTTTGTTATTTATAGGGGGTGAGGGGACCCTCAGCCCACACTTGATATTTACGCTAAACATGTAACCCTAGGCCAGGTTAGATAGAACTGGGGCTGAAAACTGAGTTCAACCATTTGGATAAAAAATCCATCACCCACACCCTAAATAATGAAGCTTCAGTAAAAACTCAGGACACAGAATCTCAAATGACCTTCACTGGATGACAATACTCTACAGATGGCACTGTCAGTATTGGAAGAGTATCTGAGGACAATGAGAATTTCATATTTAGCACCCTTGCAGAAATCCATTCTCTGTATCTTTTCCTTTGGCTAATTTTGATCTGTATGTTTTCCCTGAAATAAAATAGAACTGTGAGAATAACAAAAAAAAAGCAAGCAAGCCCAGGTCAAAATCAAACAGTCTCCCAGGCTATGGACAGCATAGTGATGAAAGAATAGTCAGCCGTACAGATCCAACCTGGAGTATAAATTTCAACAAGAATAAATCTCAGCCAGGTACAGTGGCACATGCCTGTATTCCCAGCAACCTGGGAAGGAGTCTGAGGCAAGAGGATCACAAGTTCAAAGCCAGCCTCAGCAACTTAGGGAGACCCTGTCTCTAAATAAAAAATAAAAAATGGCTAGGGATGTGGCTTAATGGTTAAGCACCTCTAGGTTCAATGCTTGGTACCAAAATAAATACATCTTAGAAATTCTGACACCAAAATGATGTAGGACTTCTTTGCCATGTGAATTATGATAACAGATTTCAAAATAAAAATTTGTTTAGGAATTCGAGTGCTGAACTTGTCACATCTGGACAGTGAATAAGCATATTAAATGGGTGTCCGGAGGGAGCCAGCCATGGGCTGTGTGTGTGAGGTATGTGCATTTGAGTGTATGAGGGGACTGGTCTGGTGTTGCACACTGATTGGGCTGTGTGAGGCAAATGTGTCTTCCTCTCTCTCTGCCTGTGATMCCACTAGCACCTGAGATGGGTGTGACTTGCCAAGATGTCAATCTGCTGACTACAAGACATCACCAATTATATATGCCTTATTTGGGTGAAATATTCTATCGAATGTCTTCTCCCCAATAAATAGGGGAGTTTTGGGCGTGCTCACTCTCTTGCTCTTTCTAGCGCTGCCCAGCATGGAGCTGACCCTTGGGGTCACCAGGCCATCCTGCTCTCAACCATAGAAACTCATGTTCATGTGCCCCATGGTTTCTTCACTGTTTTCTTAGTTATTGATACAGCCATCTCCTTTGAACCCAGCTCATCTTGCCAGCTCAGCCAGCTGGCAACAAATGGATAAGACAATTCTTTCTTCTGAAGAGGAAAATAATTTTCCTGTACCTCCCACATCACTCACTTGGATTTGGTTCACAGGAGTAGTTTCTGACTTCCCCAAAGATGATGATGTATGGTTCCCCATCCTAAAAGGAATTTTAAAAGGCAGTGTAGTTAATTAAATGATAATCTATCACAAGTTCCATATAAACATTCAAATATATAAAATAGAAAAAAAAGGTTTTACTTATCAGTGTAAAGATCAATTTACAAAGCATTAGGTTACTAAAACCAAAAGGACACGTGTTCTTAACTATGGTCCTTATTCCCTTGATAAAATCACATTCCCTGTGTTTAAAGTTCAGCATGATCTTTCTCATAAATAAATAAATCCATAACCACCAGATTTCAAACATTCTATCCTATTGATAGCCTGACTATGGGTTAAAATATATGGTTTTCATTTTCTTAAAATAGGCAGAAATTGTACTCTGTGTAGCAATGAACACACAAAGATTTAAGGATTTTAAGGAAAATAAGGTACCCTAACCAGGAGGGTCTATAGCGCCTATGTTTTCCAATCCACAAAATACAATGAACAAGAATCACTCTCACCTCAAAGGGTTTTGTGAAGATTAAATAAATTTATCTGCAGAAAACAGAACTGTGCCTTCCACACAGTAAAGTCTGAAAACATTTAATATTACTATTATTAATTCCTCATTATGTCAGTATTTATTAGCCACAGCTGTTGGGAGCTTGTAAAAGGAGGCATCCATGAAACAGGAAAATAGTCACTAAAAAACCAACCAGTTAAACATCATCATATATATCTCTCTTCTTATCCCTACAACCTTTCTTTCCCTTATCCACTCATCTATTTTGTTCAGCCATGCCCTACTGCACTGTAGAAGCAAATCAGACATCATGAGGCAAACTAATTGCAAAGTGAAATCACTAAACTTTAAAAAGAATTGAGATAACAGATGTTTTCTAAGAGAATTATTTTAATATCTTAGGAGTAATAAAGTAGGACAAGCTGGGTATGGTAGCATAGATTTGTAATTCCAACTACTGAGACAGGAAGACCTCGAGTTCCAGGCCAGCCTGAGCAAATCTGTCTTGGAAAAAAAAAAAAAGAATAACTCAAAGAATTGAAAGTTCAAATATTTTTTTAAATGTTTTCCTTATGATTATATGGCAAAATACAAATTCCAATATAAGAAAAAATGCTCCCTTCCAAATCAATGCTCCATTCTTCATAAGTGCATTTAAAATAAAAAATGTCACTTTCAACTATTTTTAGTTGTTAGGTGAATGTCATATTTCAAAGGTTCCAAAGCTTGCTTTTGTTTTTTTGTTTTCATTTTGGTACTGGGGATTGAACCCAGGGGCACTTAACTCCTGAGCCACATCCCTAGACTTTTTTATTTAYTTATTTATATGTGGTGCTGAGAATTGAACTCAGTGCCTCGTGTGTACAAGGCAAGCACTTTACCGCTAAGCTACAACTCCAGCACACTTATTTTTTATTTTGAGACAGGGTCTCCTAAGTTGCTTACTTCCTCATTAAGTTGCTAAGGCTGGCCTCCAAGTTGTGATCCACCTGCCTCAGCCTCCCAAGTCCCTAGAATGTGGAAAGCTTTTTTTTTTTTTTTAAAGAATTGTATAGCATGAAATTTTAGTCCTGTTTTAGTTGAATCCATTTTAAATGGCTTTTTTCCAATACATGTTATCCTTGGATAACTAAGGAGGACAAGGCAGTTTTGAGAAAAAACTGGGACTGAGTTGGTAAAGACTAAACAGAATAGGTTAGGCAGTGCTGGCCTGGACCAAAGGAACTCTAGATAGGAAAAATCTGAAGTTTTATTTGGCTTTTCAACTAAGAAAACAAGTCCCTTTCATCTCAAGTCCAGCACTGAACTGTCATTCCCAAACCATCTACTACAGCATCTACTACTGAAGTAGGAGTTCCAGTAGAACTTTCCTAAGAGAATGTTTTCTTGGGTAGTGAGAGATGTAGGTGTACTCTTAAGATATCACCCTCTTCCCTGTCAAATTTCTGGAAGGCACCCTTCCCCCTTCAATTTCTACTTGAGCTTCCTCAAAGCTAAATCAGCTTTTAAGGAAAGGGGCATTCACGCAGAAGGTAACTGCACAGTAATTTCACTTCAGCATTGATAAAAGGCCTACTAATCTGATAAAGCATCTTATCAGCGGTAAGTAGCAAAGATAGATACACTTACTAGGGAAACACCATTGGGCCTCAAGGACCTGTCAATCAAATAGTGATTAGCGCTTTCAAGATAGGCTCCGTGGCTTGTTCTGTAAAGTTAATCAAGAGTTCCTAGAGTCTTGCAAAACTAGTTYCTAGATTATCTAGATAAGGAAAGACAACAAGACCCAAGGTAGCAGCTGGCAGAACAGACACCTGTGGCGTGGGCGGGTTCAACATCAACCAGGGCCGTCAGTGGGTCTCAGCTGCCAATCCGGATGCCCGGGGTATTCAAAGCTGGGAAGAGGATGGAAACACTGCCGCTGTTTCCAGAGGCAACATCTACGTGAATGTCACAGTCCCCATCCTCAAAGCCTTGGCCATTTAGTAGGATCGTCACCTTCACTTCCTGCGGTAAGGTTGGCCAGGTTTAACAAAGGGAGACCGATTAAATTAAAGCAATAAATACCCTTCGTTTTCAGTATGTCCAGGGCCATATTTAGGACATACTTCTGTACTAAGATTCACTCGCTGCAAATCATTAAGGCGTCTTGCATTTGTATCTAGTAACCCACAGCGGGGTGGTCCAAGCCAGTGCGACTCGAATATTTTCAACCTGTGCATCCCGGGATCCTTAAATCCATACAACCGCTGAGGGCACCGCTCTACCCTGGCGTCCTGGGCCTCCGCTGGGTAGGGCTCAGCGCCCGCGCGGCGGCCCCACTCGCCCACCCGGCGCGGGAGGAGGGGACTCCAGCCACCCGCTCCGTCCAAGTCCCCGCGAGGCCTCGGCGTCCGCAGGGACTGTCCCGCAGCCGAGCCGCATACCCAGAGGCCGCAGTTCCTGCAGCTCGGTGAGCTCCCGCCGCCCCGCCGCGCCGCCCTGCAGAGCSGCTCCCGCTCCGGATCAGCTGCGTCCCCGCCAACACAGCGCAACGCCACAGCATGGTGAGACCTCCAGACAGCGACCAGCGGAGGGGTCCCGGACCGCGACGTCGGAGAGCCCGCCCACCCCCGTCAGGCCCCGCCCCGGCCCCGCCCCGGCCCGCCCTGCCGCGGCGCCTCCGAGCCCGCCCCGCCCCGCCCCGCCGGGCTGTCCGCGCCGCCGCCGGTCTCCTAGGCGCCTCCGCGGGTCCGGCCTCCGGGCAGCTGGAGAGCGGAGCGGCTCCGGAGCGCTGGACCCGCGATGCCCGCCCACGTGCGAGCCGCTCCCCGGAGCCGCGCGCTCGCTCACCTGCCGACCTCCAGGCTGCGCGCACACCCCGCTCCTGCTGCTTTTAGGGCTTGGGAAGCTCATTAAGGCCCACAGGCACGCGGAGCCCGTGTCGAAGGGTGGTGGCCAACATTCCGGCGGGACCAAGAAGGAAAATAACAACTGTCCAAAATAGAATCAAAGTGCTGGGGATGTTTACATGAGGATGGTGGCACCATCACAACTTCCTGTCAGACAGGTTTTCCGTGTGGATGAAATAGGAGCCTGAACGCCATCCTCAAATTAGGTCATGGATCCAAAACCCAAATATACATCATGGGAATATTGGATTTTACACTCAATTGAAAGAAAAGAATCAGTCCCATGTTGGACATTCAAAGAAAGCAGAGATTCTGTTTTCAACATAAAAGTGAAACTAGGAAACAAAATAGCCCAGAAATGTTTCCTGGTGACTTTGAAAATGGGCGAGAGTTGTTAATGACAAGATTGTCTAAGCCACTCAGTGATGTAATAATGGCTCTTTCTGAGTCTCTATATTTGTATTTCCTGGGGACACTGAAACCTATCAAAGCCGAAGGTCAAGTGGTAGGTCTAAGCTTCTAAACAATTATTAAGACAATACAGATCGTTTGGGGTTCTTTGTGCTGAAATAAAGTTAAGATTCATGTTACCATGGTATAAAATTAAAATTTTGTTTCTGACAGTTCTTTTCCTACGTTTACATGGGCTGTATTTCATTACTTCATAAAAGAATGAAACTTAATTTCAAGAACAAATACCTCCTAAGGGTGTCAAGTCGTCTTTCTTTCATAAGCCCAAATTTAACTTTAAAACTTGACAGTATGTTATCTGTAATGTTGGAGGAGGTTTTTTGGTTTGGGTTTTGTATTTTTTAGCCAAAAGATAGCTATTTAGGAAACATTATTATTGTTTTGTTTTGTTTTGTTTTGGCCTTGCCTGGCAATAAATATTTTAATTTTTCTTTCACTTTTATGATGACAAATAATTTTCAAGTTTATTTCCTTTTTTGTTGTTTGTTTGCTTAAATACAAAGCTAAACCACAAAGAGGTATAACCAAGACATTTTATCTCACATTTAAAGACTCCTGTCGGATCCTCCTCCAATTTGCTGACCACTGACCAGGCTAGTGGGCGTGGGGGGAAGACTTTCTTAGGTAGCACCGTCATGAGGCCCAGGATGGGGTAAGGATGAGGACAGGTTCTCACACCTGTCTCCATTCATATTTACCTGGGACCAGGGTGGACAGGAGCCCCAGCCCCATGGACAGAAGGTGGACAGTGAGTGAGAATCAGACCCCTGGGGAGGGAAGAGGAAGCCAGCTACTCCTCCTGGTATCACATTCAAGCTGAGAACTGAGCCTTGTCCTTGCTCCCTGGCTAAGGGCCCTGCCTGCTCCATGTGCACCAGATGTCTTTCTTTGAGGCTGGTGGAGACAGCTGGGTGGGATCCTGAGTTCTGCCCTCACAATTCAGGTTATGGCTGCGCTTCATAGGAAGGACACCAGGTGGTCTGACAACAGAAGGCCTCACAGCAGATCTGGAACTTTCAACCCAGCAGAACTGGGCAGGTGGGTGAGGGGATCGGGGAATTATTTTTGTTTTGAAATAAAATTTCACCTGTCTCACATTGTTATACAAAATAAAGACCATTCTGCAATGAAACAATCACATTGCGCCGAAGTCTGGCTGGGCACAAAATCATGAGCCACTCACAGCCTTGTAGATTCAAACAGCAACTCTTTATTTCGGAACTCTCACCAGCACTCTATGCGTGCTTCCCGGGAGGGAACACACTCCCTCCACCAGGCTTCACGCACCAATTCTCCCAGAACCCCCCCCCCCAAAGTATCAGGCTAGCCCTAATCCCAGCAGGATCTGCCCTAATCCGGGAGCCACCCTAATCCCAGAGCATTTCAACCATTCCCTCTAGCAAAATGCCAGGCGTCATTCCGACTAAACTGTGGCTCTCAACACATTGCGATTTAATTGTAATACCCTTATAGGTAGATGATGTTAAATACAAAATTTACTGAACAGTTATTTTTTTATTTTATGTTTTAGTTGTAGTTGGACACAATACCTTTATTTGATTTTTATGTGGTGCTGAGGATGGAACCCAGGGCCTCCCATGTGCTAGGCACCTCTCTGTCACTGAGTCATAACCCTAGTCCTGAACAATTATTTTTAATGGATCCCAGAATGCAAGTGCTACAAGCATTATGTCTGACCTAAGCGTAATATATTGATAATTTTCAACATCTTTTTGCTTCATAGGGTAGCTACAGAAATTATGGTTTGGGGTCATATTTGTGATGGCTCCAGTAGCACATTAAGAAATATACTGGAAGAGGGTTGGGGTTGTTGCTTAGCCATAAAGCCCTCACCTAGCATGTGTGAGGCCCTGGGTTCAATCCTCAGCACCACATAAAATAAATAAAATTAAGGTGTTGTGACCAACTACAAAGAAAAGAAGAAATATACTGGCAGAGAAGAGAATAATGGTTGCTGGGGATTGGGTGAAGGGGGAAACATGGAGATGGTGGTCAAAGGATACAGAGTTTCAGCTATGGGAAATGAATAAATGCAGCTCTAATGTACAGAAGTGACTGTAGTTAATAATACTATTTTGGGGGATGGGGTACCAGGGATTGAACTCAGGGGCACTTGACCACTTAGCCAGGTCCTCATCCCTATTTAGAAATAGGGTCTCACTTAGTTGCTTAGCACCTCACCAAGTCTCTGAGGCTGGCATAGAACTCACGATCCTCTTGCCTCAGCCTCCCAAACTGCTGAGATTAGAGGAGTATGTGACCGCACCCAGCTACTATTTTTGGAACTGAAAATTTGCTGTGTTCTTACCTTACCAAAAAAAAGGGGAAAAAGTAACTAAGAGGAATGGAGGCTATGTTAATTAGCTTGATTATAGTGGTTACTATGCAATGTAAAATGCATATTTAACTATCAAGTTGTACTGGACTGGTGGCACACACCTGAAATCCCAGCTGCTTGAGACCATCAGGAAGATCACAAGTTCAAGGCCAGCCAACTTACCTGGTTATGTAGCTCAGTGGTAGAGTGCTTCCCAAGCATGTGGGAGGCCCTGAGGTCAATCCACATTACCCACCCTCAAATCAAGTTGTACACTTTAAATATAAGCATTTTTATTTGTCAGATATATCTCAATAAACCTAAACAGAGAGAGAGAAAGAAATATTCTGGTTCTTTACTAACATGTTTGGCATGAGCATAGTGGGTGGTGGCTAGAATCATTAGATCAAGAATATATTGGTAATTACAGCCTCACAGGTCCTATAACTTTTTTCATGCCCTCAGCAGGGTATTGATAAAACTTCTGAGGTGTTAAATTTAAGAGCCAGAGGATGAAAGAGAGGAGAAAGTTAATCAGTTAACAAAGGTAGTCCCAACCAACAAAAACTTACACATTCCTGAATGTGTATTGAAACTTTGATTCAAGCCCGAAGTGGTCAGAACAGCAGTCACCACTGCATCCTGCTTAAAACCAAAGCCAGTCCAGAAGCAACAAGAGCTTCTCCTTATAAACTGTCTTATCTAAATTCCCCACTTCCCCTTATTCTTCACCTGTTATATATAGTTAATAGGTTTAATCAAAACAATCTGTGCTTTCCTCCCCCATATTTGCATTATGAAAATGCGCTTGGCTTATAAATCTGGAGGACATGTTTCCAACAGTCATCTAACCTTGCTGCTGAGAGCTATGGGAACTTGTCCCAGGACCCATCTCTTTGTTGCTGGCATCCAGAATAGCTTTTAAACCCTTTTATTTCAGAGAGCCCTCAGTTTTAACAGTTTCAACTTTAAAAATTGACATATCTAATTCTAAATTCCTTTCTAAGTTATTTTCTATAGCTTAAATTATCAACTAAAGTTCATACATTTTGTTTGACACTGAGAGCAGTTTTATCCCCCACCTAGAATTGGAAATCACTAAGATCAATAAACAATGAGATTTAATTGAAAGGGCCTCTAGGGCTGGGGATGTGGCTCAAGCGGTAGCGCGCTCGCCTGGCATGCGTGCGGCCCGGGTTCGATCCTCAGCACCACATACCAACAAAGATGTTGTGTCCCCCGAGAAAAAGAAAGGGCCTCTATAGTGAGTCCAAATTGTGGACCTTGGGTATTTGGGAACCTTTGCAGATACAGATTCTTTCTCTGAAGAAATTATTTTTTAAAATATTTATTTCTTCTAGTTGTACACAATACCTTTGTTTTTATTTATTTACTTTATGTGTTGCTGAGTATCGAACCCAGGGCCTCATACGTGCTAGGCAACCACTCTACCACTGAGCCACAACTCCAGCCCTTCAGAAACTTTTTTCTTAAACAGGAGCATGATTGTGAACTCTCAAGCGCCAGCTATTACACTGCTTCTTAGGACTACTATATAACACATTACTGTGTACTTAACAGAAATTTATTCTTTCACATTTTTATAGGTCAGAGTCTGAAATCTTGCAGGGATTTGTTCTTTCAAGAATCTATTGAAAGGGATAATTCATTTCCTTCCTCTTGTATCATCTGGCATCTGGTGGCTCCAGATGTACCTTGGATCTCTTGATTGTAACATCTCTTCAATCTCTGCCTCCATCTTCATATCACCTACCCTGTGCCTCTAATGAGGACTCTTGTGGATTAGATTTAGGACCAACCGGGATAATCCAGGATGAGCTCATATCCTAACTAGATTACATCTTCAAAGAATTAAATTAATTTTTTTTTAATATTTATTTTTTAGGTGTAGATGGACACAACACAATGCCTTTATTTTTATGTGGTGCTGAGAATTGAACCCGGATCCCGCCTGTGCTAGGCGAGCGCCCTACCATTGAGCCATAATCCCAGCCCTTAAATTTTCTAAATAAATTACATTCACAGTTTCCAGGAATTTGCCCCAGATATTTGGGAGTTGGGAGGGAACAATTTGTTCAACTTTGCACAGCTACAGAATCCAGAACATTCTAGAAACAGCCTGACATCTCATTGAAGTCGTGTGTGTTTTGTTAAAATTCTGTGAATTTTGCACCATAATCATATTGTCTTTTATACTATATTCGTTAATTATCTACCATGCCAGTCACTGTTGTACTCACAGGATACAGACA